GGGTGGGTAGGTGGGTGTGCATGGGGTGGGGGGCGATCACTAGGTAGAATCATAGAATCACTTTGGTTGGAAAAGACCTTTAAGATCATCGAGTCCAACCTTTAACCTAAGCCTGCCATCCCACCACTAAACCCTGTCCCTAAATGATATGGGCGAGGGAGGTGTGTGCATGTAAGGGTTTGAAGGTGGCCCCAGATTTGGGGGGGAGGGGGGGGAAACGGGCACTGTGTGAGGGAAGACTGGTCAGCGGGTGAAGTGGGGCGAAGGACGAGTAAACCTCGCCCCCGCCCTGCAGGCCCCGCTATGTCAGGTGCCCCTGGGCAGTGTGTTTTTTGGCAGCCGGGCTTCCACTCCTGCCCCTGACCTCTGAAACGCCTGGGCTACCCTTACCTGTTGTGGGTGGGTTTGGGGGAAAGGGCTTATGGGCTGCCCTCGCCTTCTGCTTTTTAACTGAAAAAAACATAACTTTTTAACTGAAAATCCTGAATTTTTGCTTTGGCAAAAGGAGACTGGAGCTGTGTTTCACAGCCACCGGTTTGTGCTGCCATACTAATGTGAACCCATACGGAATGGGAGACTTGGCTCTGTGGCAGTCCAGCTATGGCCTGTTAAATTCCTGTAGTTACTGGAAGCAAAATTTGGAGTGACAATAATGTGGTCTAGGTGTGCTGTTTTCGATACACCTTTTCAATACACCTTTTTGATAAGTTAGCTTCAGTGTTGGAGGTTGGGAGGACTGCTGGGAGCGCAGCGCTCGGACACCTGAGTCACTGCAGGCTGCAGAGTCTTGTCTAATCATTGATTGTGCTGAATTAAATAACCTCTGAGTTAAATATTTTTTTTTGATTTAAATATTTTTTTGTCACCCACTATCAACAAGTGACAGGGTTACCGTATTTGTTAATAATTAATATCACGAATTTACCTCTGCTTTCCAAAATGAAGTGAACCTTTTAAAAAAAAAAAAAAAGTTTTTCTGACTACACTCCTATTCTTTGTATCTTTCTGCCGATCTGCTTTGTTAGGTATTAAAAAGAACTGGATTCTTTTTTAATTGATAATCTTTGGCGATAATTGAGTAATCCCTTTACCTTTCTTGTTAAAAAGACTCAACTTTAAGGTGTTTCTGTCAGGTCTGTGATCATGCTTGTAGTTATTTCTACCAGCATTTCTGGCTTTCAGCATCATATTAAAGTGCTGGTCCCTGAATAGAAGGGTGACAGTCTGTTATTGATCTCACTGATGCGACATAAAAAGTTAATACCATCTTTCTCCTTGATATTCCTTTCCAAGGCTCCCGTAAGTCCTTTTTGCTACAGACTCGTCTCAGAAATTAATGTCCACGTGGTATCTGCAGTGCTGCCCAAAGTCCTTAATGTCATTGCCTTCCGTGATAGAATTCCCTCTCCTATAGTAGGGCTGGTGTTTTACAAATGCATGACCTTGCATCAGCTGTTTTTTAAGAAGTTGTTTAAATGTGCTTATCATCGGTAAAAACAATTTTAATGGCTTTTAAGTGGTGTTCAATAATCCCAGCGATGGGGTTATTCTCTGGCAAGCTGACCTTGGTCTGAGGGATGCTGGTCCTAATGCTCATGTGCTGCCTTCCTTCTATGAAAGTTTTGGTTTTTACTTGCTGTCTGCTAACTTTTGATTCCCCTGTTCTGGGAGAGACCTTAAATGCCATCTGAAATGGAAAGGGCAGGCTTTGACCTGTGATTTAAGGTTAGGTTCTCAAAAGGAGAAAATTCATAAAGAAACATATGAGAGGGTGGGTTTTGGGGGATGGAGTAAAGATGGAAAACTTTAAAATTGCTGGGACAGGAACATAACATACCATGGGCTGAACATGCAGATAGAGCTAAAAGCTGGTTTATATGCGGAACAGAATGATGCTTTTCTGGAAGGATATTGGGAATTCTGGTTATACTGTTTAAATAAGTTTGTTAGCGTAACTAGGAAGAAACCACTTTAACCTTGAAGTAGAAGAGGGACTCTGCCATAATGCATATAGGAATAAACTACTGTTTAATAACGTTGCTTCTTGGTGGGAGCTGTGGTATTGCAAGCAAAGTGCTTGTGGAAGAGGAACAGAGTACATTACCTATGTTCTGTGTCAGCCAAGTATGATTTAAACACGCTTCTTAAGTAGTTGTATGGTTTTAAATGTAAATGTTTTAAATATAAACAGAGCTATAGAATATAAAACTTTCATCACTGCTGTCCAGGGAAGAAATTAGTTGTGTAAACTTACATCTCATCTGCTTATGGGATGTTGAACTGATTTTGAAACTTCAGAACACTTCAAAAGCAGAAATCACCTGATAACTGCTTTTATTAATTAAAAAAAAAACCAAAAACCAGAAGTGTTTTTCAAAGACCTTTCTGGTCATGTTCTGGTTTAGAATCAGGAGTCTACTGAAAAACACCAGTTTTTTTTCAGTGACAG